ACTGTGAGAGGGAACTTGGAGTCCTAGTGGACAATTACTTAAATATGAACCAGCTGTGTACAGCAGCTGCCAAAAAAGCAAACACAGTTCTAGGCTGCATAAACAGAGGGATAGAATCAAAATCATGTGAAGTGTTAATACCATTTTATAATGCCTTGGTAAGGCCACACTTGGAATACTGCATCATGTTTTGGTCACCATCATGTAAAAAAAGATGTTGAGACACTAGAAAGCAGAGAAGAGCAATAAAGATAGCTAGGGGACCGGAGGCTAAAACATATGAAGAACGGTTGCAGCAACTGGGTATGTCTAGTTTAATTAAAAGAAGGACTAGGGGAGAAATGACAGCAGTGTTCCAATATCTCAGGCACTGCCACAAAGAAGAGGGAGTCCAGCTATTCTCCTAAACACCTGAGGGTAGGACAAGAAGCAATGGGTGGAAACTAATCAAGAAGAGAAGCAGCTTAGAACTAAGGAAAAATTCTCCTGATAGTTAGAACAATGAATCAGCGGAACAACCTGCCTCCAGAAGTTGTGGGTGCTCCATCACTGGAAGTTTTTAAGAAGAGATTGGATAACCACTTGTCTGAAGTGATGTATGGTTTCCTGCGTAAGCAGGGGTTGGATAGAAGACCTCCAAGGTTTCTTCCAACTCTGTTATTCTATTCTATTCTACTCTATTCTATTCTAAACCATAATCTGCACTAAGTATCATTAAAAACAAAGCAGCCCTTCAAAATTTTGCGTAACCCTAGTCCATCTCCAATTTTTTAAATGGCATTTGGCTATACTGTGGTGCATACTGAACTCCAACTTCTGAAAATTATATTGAATTATAATTCAATCACTTATTTATATACTATCATCATTTATACCATTTTTTCTAAAAGCTAACAAAAGGGCACACAATAATAAAATATAAGTAGTAAATTCTAAATTTTAGCTGGATATAGGTACTCTAGTATTTTAGCTACATGCAGTAGCTCTGCTCAGCTTTGGTTCCACCATACTTGATGAATCATGGAAGACAAATAATTTATTTTTAAGTATAGCACCAACTGAAAAAGAATTGTGTAACCCTTTTCTACGTAATAGAAACCCTGGACCCTAAGAACACAATGACAAAATGTTGAAATCTCTTATGTAACTATTCTTGCTTTAATAAATCTCCAAATTATAAAGCTCCTTACTTGTTTTCCTTGTTTTGCTATCTACATATATGTGCTATTTCCCATTTCTCCATACCAATGTATCATGTTCAATACTCACCTATTTGGCATGCTTCCTTTTTCAGTAATAGCATCACACCACATGTTAAACCCAACAGTCACAATAGTGCTGGCAATAAAGATGACAAAAACCACGAAGGAGCTAATCAGAAGATTCAGGAATGCATAAAAGAAAGAGCTGCAATGAAAATTGAAGATTGGGGAGAAGAAAAATAAAAATATTTAATCAGTAACACAAACAATAACTCTTGAATTACATGCAATGCTGGAATCAAAGGAAAGGAATGTACTCCACATCTAGGCTCACATTTCCCTACAGGTCTACTTCCTTCTGATTTCTCCAAACCTTCTCTGGCTTGAGCCATTTTTCTAACTTGGCAATAGTCAGACACAAGATATCTCTCTCCTCAGGATGGAATACCACAAACAAAAACAATATTGAGTTTTTCACATTCTCTCTTGAATGTCCACCTGAAGTTTTTTTCCCCGATCCCAATCAATTCTTCAGACTTTGATTTTCCCAAGCTCTTATGGCCTCTCCCCCTATCTAGATTGACAAATCAGAGTCAGGTTTTCCTTTCAGTCCTTCCTGTCTGAGACTTTTGAGATGGGATTTCGTCCCTATCCCTACCATAATGAAGACAATCTATTTAAGATTGATCTATGTAACCACCAGCATGGATTGACTCTAGAACCTCACATGATCATTCCTATTTCTGGTCGCAGTAGGTAGGTGGTGACATTTTTAATTATTATCTCATGGAGAAGGGTTAACAATTACAGGTACATACATGAAATGTTGCATCCAGATAGTTCTAATCATTTGGCAAGCCATAAGGAACAATTTCAATGACTAGCAGAAAGAAAAACTTTAAAAAGTACCCTGTTTCCCTGAAAATAAATCCTCCCCGAAAATATTGCAACACAGCATCAGCCATGAGATGACCATGCTGCCTCATGTACCTCAAAAATAATAAAACCTTCCCAAAATAAGGCCAAGTGCTTATTTTGGGAGTGAAAATTTTTTCGGGAAAACATGATATGAACAAATAGAAGAGTTTGGTCTTTTTTTGCGCATGTGCGGGTTTGGAATGGCGACCGGCCTTTTCGCTCCACNCAACCAGTCTCTCTGCTCCCTGCTCGGAGTCGGAACCCTGTCCAGGGTCCTCCACATCTTCCAGGGCCGACTCATAGGACCCCTCGCTGTCGGAGTCTGGTGGCAGCTCCAACGGCTCCTGCCGAGCCACAACAGAAATCATTTCGTAAACACTATTCTAACCAATAGTACTATGAACAATAACAGTAATAATAGACAATTGAAGGCAAATCTCACTGATGGCTGATATCTGATCCTGGGTAAAAGTCTCACTGTTAGCTCCTCAAACTATGGAGCTCTACAGAGACCCCCAAAATTATCAAAACCCCTCCCATTAACTTTCTATCATTTATCGGCCATCTCTCAACCTCCAAATACTTACTGTCCCCTTGGAGACTCCTATGAACTCTTGGGTTGGCATTGTCCACTTTGGGGAACCCTAATCTAGAACCGTAGATCCCATTTAAATCATTCAAGGAGCAACCAGATGTTTCCAGGAGCACCTGAGAATTTCACATGAGGATTGAATTTTGAAATGCTAGAATTAAAGTTGCCTATATTTGCAATATAAGGGGCATGGTAGCTCAGTAGCTAAGACCCTGCGCTTATCAATCAGAAAGGTCAACAGTTCGGTGGTTCGAATCCCTAGCACCTTGTAACGGAGTGAACTCCCATTACTTGTCCCAGCTTCTGCCAACCTAGCAGTTCAAAAGCAGGTAAGATATGCAAGTAGAAAAATAGGAGCCACCTTTGGTGAGGAGGTAACAGCATTCCATGCGCCTTCGGCATTTAGTCATGCCGGCCACATGACCACGGAGACGTCTTCAGACAGCGCTGGCTCTTTGGCTTTGAAACGGAGATGAGCATCGCCCCCTAGAGTCGGGAACGACTAGCACATATGTGCCAGGGGAACCTTTACCTTTATATTTGTAACAGAGCTGTCCAGCACTCCAGAGTCAAAAGGCATCCAGGGGATACTCAGGTAGCACCAGTCCATAATATGTTCAGCCAGTTGTATTTTCTTTCCCAGGATCACACAGCTGCCCTTCGCAGCTGCCACACAGTCCTGGGAAAAGATGCGCTTGGTTTCCGGAGTCGTCAACGGATGCAATACGAGATCCAGGCATGCCCTGAAGCACACTGCAGGTTCCCAACTGATGGGGATTCTGCTTTCAAACCCCCAAAATTGGATATGGGCAGATTTTGAGATAGTCTAATTGCATACGAGTAAGACTGAGCATCACATCTGCCCCGGGATAAAGCCCAAAGTGAATCTATATGCTGCTAAAACTCTCATGTTTCTTTGCCTGTAAATTTCGTCTGAAAATGGTTCGTCATTTTTGAGCCAAGGTACTTCACGTAGGCTAACTTGTATCCAAAATCCTGAACCCATGACTCCCATGGAATCTGGCATATTTAATACAACATAAGACAGAGTGTCATAAAATGTTTCCAATGGTCAAGTCCTGATATGTATTGATTCAGGACAGCCTGAATCACCACACTGTAAAAAAGATGTTGAGATGTTGGAAAGGAGAGAAAGAGAAGGAGAGAGTGTAGGAAGGGGAAGAGGAAGAGTAGGAGCAGGGAAGAAGGGGAAGGAAAGGAGGAAGGAAGGAAGTAGAGAAGGGAGGGAGGGAGAAAAGAAAGGGAAAATAAGGTGATGTTAGAACAGGTGGAAGGGATGGTAAATAAAGCAATCCAAACTGTATATTATGACCTATTAAATGAAACAACAAATATATAAGAATGACAAATGTAAAGAAGAATAACAATTGTGTGAATGTATACTTAAAATGATATGTAAATAAAAAAGATGGGGGAAAAAGATGCTGAGACTCTAGAAAGAGCAGAGAAGAGCAACCAGGATGATTAGGGTACTGGAGACTAAAACATATGTAGAACGGTTGCAGGAACTGGGCCTGGCTAGTCTAGGGAAGAGAAGGACCAGGGGAGACATGACAGCAGTCTTCCAATATTTGAGGGGCTGCCACAGAGAGGACGGGGTGAAGCTATTTTCCAAGGCACCTGAAGGCAAGACAAGGAATAATGGATGGAAACTGACCAAGGAGAGTGTATGGGAGTTGGCTGGACTTGAATGAATGGCCCACTTTTAGTAATTGTTACCCTTGTATTTTATATGTTTTAAATTTTTACGTGGGAATTGTTAGTGTGGATAAATGAGAATGTTTGACTCGGAGGACCTGCTGGGGAAGGCGGGGGGTACCGGGGTGGTTGGGGGGACCATGGACATGGGAGTGGGTCGGAGCATAGCGGTCGTGACAGGGAGAGGCAGATACGGCGGGGACCTTAGGGCTGGCCATTACCGGGGAAGGAGGGTTCGCTACATCACAGAGATCCCTC